GCCTCCTCCTCCGGATCCGCTACCACCGCCGCCGCCGTGCCCGCCAGCTCCTCCGCCGTATCCTTCTCCAGCACCGCCGCCGCTCCCGTAACCACCACCGTGAGCTCCCCCTCCGGCACCTCCGCCTCCGCCTCCTCCACTTCCACCACCCCCGCCACCGCCTTTTCCACCTGCACCTCCAGCACCGTACCCTCCGCCGGAGCCTCCGCCTTCACCACCGCCGTATCCTCCACCGTGGGCTCCACCAGCTCCGCCACCACCGCCTCCTCCACTTCCACCACCGCCACCACCGCCATGTCCGCCGGCACCTCCGGCACCGTACCCTCCGCCGGAACCTCCACCTTCTCCGCCTCCATATCCACCGCCATGCGCACCGCCAGCTCCACCGCCTCCTCCTCCTCCGCTTCCTCCACCGCCGCCACCGCCACCGCCATGCCCGGCAGCTTCTCCTCCGCCGTATCCTGCTCCACCTCCTTCACCAGCACCGCCACCGTACCCAGAGCCTCCACCAGCGGCACCGCCGCCTCCGCCGTGACCGCCGCCGCCTCCTCCGCCAATTCCGATACCAACGCCGGCACCAACACCGATACCCACACCAATTTTCTCGTCTTCTCCGCTGCCGTATCCGGTGATTCCGGCGTCAGCATCGACGGTGGAGAGAAGGGCTCGTCTTGCGGAGCATAGCCCTAACCCTAGAAAGAAACAGAGAGCTAAAGAGAAGAGTTTGCGATTATTAGCCATTGGAGAGTGTTTTCGAGTTTGTGAGTTGGGTCTATTCTGCATGAGAATGCGAGGGTCTTTATAGTGATGGGGTGAGTTCTCGAACCGCGTTTCCTGCACATACAGTGTACTTGTTGGGGTCCACATTTACATACATACATACATATATATATATATTATAGTCCAACATGCGAAATATATTATATATATATTAACACTCGACCAATCAATCCCACAGGATTTGAAATTATCTCAGATAATTATTATTTTTTTATCCCTTTATTGCGATATATATTATATAGCATATTTATGAATAGTGTATCTATTACATATACTTACAATCTTAACCTAACGGGAATTCTAACCATATCGAAATTACTCTGCATGAAATGGAAATAACAGTAATACGTACACTTTCCATGCGCCAAATACCCTAATACCCACCTTATAATTTTCTCAATTTTGTATATCTCAACATATATATATATATATATATATATATATATATTATTCGAATCTATTTCATGTAAGTACATTGTTTTTATCAATGCGTTGGTAACTATAGACAAACGGTCGAATGTATGTGTATATATGCACATATATATATATATATATATATATTGAAAACTTTAGCGAATTGTGTTCCACTTTAGTACGTTCAAATCCATTGATTTGTGTTATTTTATGTATAAATCTTATAGTAATTACACACTCACTCAACACCAAGTCGCCACTACGCTCGCTGTCTCCCATATCGCATATAACAAATACGCACACAATAATAATAATAATAATATATAATCCCATTATTATACCCTAAACGTAATGTATCATACCTAATTCTTCACATTATCATATTGTTTCTTTATGGATATCTGACTCACTCCTACATTTTCTTTCTTTTTTTGCTTTCTGATTTTTAATTAGTGAAATAAAAAATAATAATTTCGTGGATAAATAGTTAAGGGTTACAAACATATATAACCTAATATTATCCAACCTATAATTATCAAGTGGAAAATGTTAATTATAATTAGGCTTCGGATTTTGGCAATTATTATAACAAATTGATTTTTGAAATGACACGTCATTTTATCGTTCGAAATATACGACCTTTTATATATACATTTGGTGTTTGGATTATTGATGAAACTATAACATAAATGTGGATATTGTAGAAATATAAAATTGTGGAAATTAAATAAGAAAGAAAGACAAATAAAAATGAACGAAATTACTTTTATTGCTACATCTTTTCTTTTACTCGTTACATTACAATGAAAATAAAATACATATTTATAGAAAATTTAAGAAACAAAGTAAAAAAGAAATATAGACACAATGGAAACAAATCAGATACACAATATTTGATATAATGATATTGTATCCATTATTATTCTCCATCATATCTCAAATCTTATTTTACTCCCATCACATATTTATTTTTCCATTTTAACATTCTCCCTCAAGATGGACTTTGAAAGAATGAAAAAGTCAATCTTGAATTGATAACGCTATAAACCGTCCAGACATTTTCATTGTCTCTGGAAAAATTCATAAACACCAAATTTTGTTTTTTTAGAGAGCATTGACCATTTTCAAATCATTTCGCTTGATTTTAAAGTTTTAGGTTTAACTCTTTTTGTCATACCATCTTGCTTGACCTTAGAGTTTTTAGCTTTGACTTTTGTTTGTCATAGTACATCGTTTGAATTTGAATTTTTACCCTCATTTGAACGATTTGGATATATGAACATCCAAAACGCTAAAGAAAGAAAAGATTAGAAAATAAATAAAAAACATATAGTCCAGATCACAACGCTACTCTGATATCATGCATTAGAAATATAAAATTACGGAATTAAATAAGAAAGAAAGACAAATAAAAAAGAACGAAATTACTTTTATTGCTACATCTCTTCTTCTTCTCGTTAAATTACAATGAAAATGAAATACATATTTATAGAAAATTTAAGAAATAGAGTAAAAAAGAAATATAGACACAATGAAAATAAATCAGATACACAATATTTGATATAATGATATTGTATGCATTACTATTCTCCATCATATCTCAAATCTTATTTTACTCTCATCACATAATTATTTTTCCATTTTAACACATATACTATTCTAATAGTTTTTTTCATTTTCAATATTGTCCGAGGAAATCGTTTTTTTTTTCCCACAAAATAACAAATTGGTCATTTACGTAATTATTACCCTAAAATATTTCTTCCAATTTTCGTGCCTTTGGAAATATCAAATATCAATGCTATCACTGTCTAGTTATATTTCTATATGAAGCTTTGTCCAACTCGTAATTATTATCTTTGAAAATAGGTCTTCGACGAATATATAGAGTATACGGAGTATGAACATGGTTGTAATTAATTATAATTTATAGCTGACATTATTAATCATATATAAAAACAACAAAAAATAAATAATTTTATTTTCCATTTTATAGATAAAATTATCATAAAATATTTTTTTAATAATTCAGAAGTTCACCGAAATTTCAACTCAAATATATCTCTTTATATCATTTTATTTACCATCTTTACAATTACATATATAATATTTATATTTACTGTTTAATGTATTCTAAAATTTGTTGTATCGCGAAAATAATAATAATAATAATAATAATAATAATAATAATAATAATAATAATAATACAAATAATAACCTATGGATCAATTATACCGATTTTTTTTGTATTATTTTTAACAAAATAAACTTATTTTATTACAAAATATAAAAGGTATTACTAAAGATAATTTTCCATGTGAAATTCTAATGATTAGGAATTTGGAAATATGGTGCCGTCCAGCAAAATATAGCAACTAGAATACTTTTGAATAATTCGCCCACTTGTATGTATATCCACAAATATGTATGATGATATATGATTTACAGTCGTTATCCTTAATTCTCATAACCCTAATATACAAATTTTTTTATAAAACTAATTTAATATTATTTAAAAGCTAGATAAATCTTGTGCCATGAAAACTGGTACTTAATATTAATGTTTCCCTTCGCCATGTCGGTTGCATTTAATAATACGTTTGAGGGTATATGTTATTTATTTCTGATGATTATTTTGTTATTGGACTATATTATAAGTGCAAGATTTCTTCTAACCATGGAGTGTCGTCATGGTAACATTATATAACTATTTGATATAACCAATTGAATTAAGGTATTGATATGGAAAAGTCAACGAAATCAAGGGAAAGTTCTCAGTCTTATTGATGTCACAAGCTTGACCATATATACAAATAAAATAAATAACAAACTCAACAAAACTCTCGCACTGTAACTTCCCGTCGAGTATATCTACACAAACTAACTCAAGTCTATCTCCTATATTTCCGAGATACGTTCTCGGCCAATACCCCCCTCAAGTTGGTAAGTGCAAGTGTTGTACACCCAACTTGTCGATGAACCAAGCGAACTCTTTCTTGCCCAACGCTTTGGTGAAAATGTCAGCTAATTGTTCACGGGTGGAAACATGACTCGTAGAGATGTGTCCGTGATCAAGATGATGCCGGAGAAAATGACAATCCACCTCGATATGTTTGGTTCGATCATGATACACGTCGTTGTGGGCAATATGTAAGGCTGCTTGACTATCGCAATACAATGTCATAGGGGTCGAATGCTCGACACCGAAGCTGGACAAAAGGCTCTTGATCCACAAAAGCTCACAGGTGGCGAGGCGCATGGCCCGATACTCCGATTCAGCCGAAGACAGAGACGGAATGGACTGTTTCTTGGTCTTCCAAGAGATTGGCGATGGCCCGAGTTGAATGAACCAACCACTCAACGACTTCCTAGAAAGCGGGCAACCGGCGTAATCCGCATCGCACCAACCCCGTAATCTAAGATCGGAAGCTGCCCGAAAAATCAAACCTTGTCCCGGATCCCCCTTGAGATGCTGGATGCCGTCGCTGATGATGACGGGGACACAGTGGCTAGCGATTGCATCGAATAGGCGGTTTGAGGAAGGTGTGTCTCCGGCAATGTTGAGGCAGAACTTGGAATTGTGCATTCCCTGAGTGGCTTTGTTTACGCCGTCGTTTTTCACGCTCCCGAACGAGAAATGAACGTCCTTTTCGTCTCGTAGAAGGTAGAACAGTTCCTGACGGACAAACCCGCCCTGAGATTTAGACACCGCACAAATTTTGTTGAGAATTTAGCACAAAGAAAACCGGAAATCGGGAAAAAGGGTTAGGAGCAAATCAAAGCATTCACTAGGAAACACAATACATGAATATTCATATCCAAAAAGAGAGTAGCTTTAGATTCAGCAACTGGATTGAAGAAGAAAAAACTAATCTCCTCTCCCACAAAGCAACAGAGCAGAAGCAAATGTGAGTGGAAGAAGTAAAGCTTACATCTTTTCGGTAGATGGCACCTTGAAAGTAGAGCAAAATCAGCCGGCTATCGAAATCAGACATATCGTTTTCATATGATTTGATGACATGCTTATAAGGGGCGATAACATCTTTCTCAAGGTTTGCCACAGTAGGAGGGTACCTCCCGAAGTCCGAGAGTATAAACATTGCCGGAAACAGCTTGTTTCTGGCATCAAGCATGCTGTTTGGATGATGAGCAAGAACAACATGGTCTCTACCACCTGATCTCTTCCACTCATCTTGTACTGTCAAGAACTTAACCAGCTTTTCCTGCAACTCCTTGTTTCTGCTGGTTTTTCGGTGAGGACTGACATTCGAGAACCGGTTATAGCTCAGAGAGGAGAAGAAGGGCACAAAGATGACATCGGCTTCACTAGAGTTATGAACCCGTTTTGCAGCGTTAGCTCTTGGGATATCGGGAAATTCTGATGCAAGGAGATCTAATGTGAGCCAATACTCAATGCTGTGTTGCAAGTTCAAGCCCCCGGGATAAGGCGGGATATGCTTTCGGATATCTGGCCATACACTCTTGCTGCTATTCCCTTCAGGTTTCCAGTCTAACAATCCGAAATGAAACTCGGGGTCCATGTCGTACATGTAAACCTTAAGAGGCTCCTCCCCTGGTACCTCGCACATACATTTACCTATCTCTTGCCCTACCGAATTCCCATCCTTTTCGCCTTTCACCTCGTCGTTGTAATGCTCGTCATTGCCTCGGGTTGAAACACCAGAATTTACATCATTCATAGCGGGGAAAATCGGATTGTGCAACAAAGGGTAGTCAAGGAAGTGAATTTGGCCCGTGGAATGCAACACAAAGGACCAAGAAAGCACAAAGATGATTGACGTAACCAAGAACAGGCAGAGCAACAATTTCCCAACCATTTGCAGTGCCAATCCCCAAAGAACATCAATGCCAGTAGCAGCTGATCTTCAGGAACCCCAATACCTCAAACCTAATCGATGAATCTGAGGAGAAAGAGCTGCAATAATCAAACAATGCCTTAACCATAACCAATCTCAACGCCAAATCCGATGAACTCTGAAACTGTGTGTACCGATCTAGACAGGATATTAGGGTGAACCGTAAATTTCGGCACCTGTAAACACGTCAAGAAAGGAACAAAGGCACGGATTCAGCTGAAAAGGACAAAAATTCAGACGAAAATCAGTAAATCCAGAAGCAAAACCTCACCAAAAATAGAAAAGAACCACAGAGTACGAACCCTGACGGGGAAACAACGATACCCAGATGAGGAATCGCAGGAAAGGTGAGATTTTTGGGCTCAAACCAAGAACGGAAACAGGTTTCGAATCGCACCGCTAAAACCCAGGTGATAAAAACGGCTAATTCGATCGCGTCAATGGAGATTCCCGTGTAATTTGTTTTTGCAAGAATTACTTTTTTTTTATGAGACTGTAGAAAATATATGACAAAAAAAAAAAAAGAGTTCAAATCAAGATATCCAAAGAACGGTTGCAGGACTTTTTCATTTTCACGAATTTTTGTTTTTTGTTTTCTTCTCGGAGAGTTTTGTCTCTACGTTCTTCGTCTTCTTGCGGGAATACGAAGTCGTCCTTTTGAACAGAGAACAAACATTGTTCTCTGCATATTTCTTGTTCTTAGATCACATATTATATATATATATATATGTAGATAATGTCCATAAGAAATCGAATCCTAACGAGTCATTAGAAATCCATCCATTGTCGTATAATAAAATTCGAAAATGGAATTGGAATGATTGGGATCATGATAGTTTACATGTAGCCGCAGCGATGTGTCTTAAATAATATGTGTAATGTAACGTTATATGATTCTCCATATATCACCAAAGAGTAGATTATGATCGTAAGCAATAAACGAGTGTAAATCATATACACATTTTCCGGGTTTTTCTTCGCAGCCATCGATCTCGAAGATAATGTATATAGATACATACATACATATAAATATATACAGATTCATATATATACATACATGTATATAGGTATATATACATATATAATATTTTGGGTTAGGGTTTTGATTTTTGATAAATTCAAAGTCAACAAAAAAAAGACGGGGGCACAAAAGAGTATTTGGGCTTTCAGTGTGGGCTGTAAGGCCCAACAATGTTTGTTATGTGGGCCCAAAGTTCACACAAATTTGGCATGAAGTTCAAATCTATTTTCTGTGAACAATCTGGACCAAAGTTTTGCAAATTTTTTTAGAAAAAAATAAAATACAAAAAATATTTATTTCCTGTGTTTTATTTTGTTTGATGATTAACATTAATGTACAGATTCAGAACTAATTACCTATAATATATTTCTTTATTTTAATATTATTCGTAAGTAGAATATGTGTTTCTTTGTTTTCAATGTTGACAGACAAATAATGAATTTTATCTAATACTAAATCAGAAAAGAAGATAAAAAAAACTATGTAAAGACTAGCTTAAAATTCATATTATCTAAAATCCAAATAAAATTCATAATATAAAAATTTATATATTATTATGGTGTTTATTAATTTGAAATTTCTTATCGTACCAAGAATTCTAAATTATCTATTAAAATCCTTTCTATACGAATACTTATAACAACTATGAGATGCGGGATCTGGTTTCGGGATTGTACCATCCACAAACCCAAATTTCTTCCTCGATTTCAGGGCATGTCGGATGTTGATAGACCACTCGTCATAGTTGTGGCCGCGCAACAAGGGTTGTGACAACACAAGTCCCGGATTATCACTGGGACTTAAATCATAAGGGGAAATAGTTCTCCTCGGGAAGTCGATGATCGGAGTTCTCGTTGTGGCAGACATTGCCGGATCGAGGGTCGGTGGTGATGTCGAGTCGTGTCCAGAAGACATGTCGCTACTGGAGGCGGAAAAAAAAAAATTTAATGTATATGCTCTGATACCATGATATGGAAAAGTCAACGAAATCAAGGGAAAGTTCTCAGTCTTATTGATGTCACAAGCTTGACCATATATACAAATAAAATAAATAACAAACTCAACAAAACTCTCGCAGTGTAACTTCCCGTCGAGTATATCTACACAAACTAACTCAAGTCTATCTCCTATATTTCCGAGATACGTTCTCGGCCAATAGGTATAGTTTAAAAAATCGAAATGCTCATTTCATAAGAATTATTAAGGTATAATTTTATTCTAAAAATTTTAATTTTGTATGGAGTGAGTATCTAAATACCCTAAAACTCTATATTTGTTTTGTTTCTTAACCGATATGGATTTTCAAATTTTGTTTACAAGTAAATTTTAATATTCGCTGAGTTAAAGAAATTCGGATTTAGTTAATTAACACAATTTTAAAAAACCACACACATAGACATATATACACACATATATATATATATATATAAACTATTCAATTAAGAGAGTTGGATTGTATTAAATTGGGAAAATCCCAAAAAATAACTGAACTTATCAATTTTCACAAAATAAAATTTAAATTTTGTTTTTTGTCAAATAAAATCTCAACTTGATTTTTGAGTTATAAATAAATCTAAACTTTATAACAAATATAATTTTTAAACTCATCGCTGACGTGACGTACTGATATCATGATATATAGATGATGACGGTCAAATATGGTTAAAGTATTGTTTTGCCACATAGAATATCAATACGCCGTATCAATTAAGGTTTAAAAATGACAACGATTATAAACTTTGAGTTTATTTTCGACTGAAAATGGAAGTCGAGATTTTATTTGATAAAAAAAGTTTAAGTTTTGTTTTGCGAAAATTGAGAAGTTCAAGTAAGATTTTCTCTATTAAATTTTGAATGATAATTTTTTTTAATGGAACACAATTAACTCATTTTTAATTTGGCTCCAATCAAACACGTTATAATAATAAGATATATATGGTGGTAGTGGTTGGCTAAATCTATACATACATATATGTAAACTTGTAAAAATGAAATTGGAACCTCATTGGTGAGAGTGTGAAAAGGGTTAGCATGCAATTGAAAAAAGTGATGTATTGTACATATGATATGAAAGTGGACCAACCCATTTCATTTTGTTCTCTTAGTGGCTCCTTTTTATGCATTTCATTGCTTTGAAAATGGGTTAGGCTTCTTATGCACATCACTAAAGAAATAGAGCTAGCCTATATCCATCTGCCGCCTTTGCTTTCATATATGTATATATATATGTATATGTATATGTATATGTATATGTATATGTATATGTATATGTATATGTATATGTATATGTATATGTATGTGTATGTGTCTGTGTATGTGTATGTGTATGTGTATGTGTATGTGTATGTGTGTGTATGTGTATGTGTATGTGTATGTGTAAGATGTCAAGTATTTTATCCAACGAATTTCTAAATCTAACATATATTGATTTGATATACAAATCAAAGGAAAATTTCAAAATTTTCAATAAGATGTCAAGTATTTGATCCAACTAATTTCTAAGTATAATATATATTGGTTTGATATACAAATCAAGGAAAATTTCAAAACTTTCAATAAGATGTCAAGTATTTTATCCAATTAATTTCTAAATCTAATATGTATTGAAATAGTTTTATGTATTGCCCCCCTTTTATACAATCCACTATAATAGTTTTATAGATATTGAGAAAATGCAAATCATTTTCATTATTTTGGGTTTGAATTTCCCTTAATGGGTAAAAAATAATTTATATCTATAAAATTGAAGATTAAAGAGGATATTTAAGCTTTATATATATTTAATAGAAGATGAATTATCTTCTCACCTATACGTATGCTAAACATATTTTAAATCTTAATTTTATTTCATATTTTTTGCTAATTACGAAAAAAAAGGGTGTCGAGATTAAAGAAAAAGCGAAAAAAAAATGGAAGGCGGGAACGCCACCAAATTTGTTCCACGCGCTTCTTCTTAGGATATGATGAAAAGAGCAGAATCGCTGGGCTATACTCCAGAGGTTTTTGGGCGGTGTCGTCCACGCGCCACTGCTGCGCGTATGATTTACCAAGCACATCAGTACTAAACTCTTTGAAAGGGCCGCATTAATCCGGGCCGTAATGAGCCCATAAACTGCACTTTATGGGCCGAAGACAACAAATATTGGCCCATCACTCAGCCATCAAATGAAATCACGATTAGAGAGTGATTGCGTTATACAAAAATATATATAATATTATAAAAACTATCTATTTATAGAAACTAATTCATAGAACAAATACTTCTATTAAGGTTTTAAATTTTATTTGTCAGACATAATTATTCAATCAACAAAATAAATTTATTATTAATTATATTTATTTTTTGATATTTTCGATTTTAGACACTATATTTTTAAAATTTGTTAACCTTATTTATTTTTAATAATAAAATATTTACTAAATATTATTTTTACTCGAGTATTTATTTATGTCGAAATAAGCATAAAGAATAAATTTAGTTAGATATTATATCTATGAATAATTGGTAAATTATAAGATTACACCTTTTCAATAATGTTAAATTATTAAAAATATTTATTTTTTAATTTTTTTTTTGAAAACAACAAATGCAGAGATGTCAATTATTTATTTATAGAAATTTTGAATTTTTTTTTTTCAAATTCTCTACAGCACTTTATATTTTTTATTCGTTTATTATAAAAAAAATTAATTAATACTATCTGTTTCTAAGCAATACAAATATAATAGTAAACTTATATATGTTCTATAATTTGTTCTCATTGTAAAAAATCTTAATACGAATTTTGTATCCTTCTCCATACCTAGTACTAGTATATGCATTTTTCGTATTATTTTTAATTATATGTATAATTATTTTCTTACTATATATTTTTGTAATATTGAAAAATAATCGATGACCATAGTAGTGGTTTGGTTTTACCTCCCGATGGTTTTAAGAACCAATGAAAAACAAAACCGATAATTTATCAAGAAATCTTATTTGTAATTTAAATCTAATTCTTAAAAATAAAAGAAATCAGATTTACCAGTTGAGTTTAATTGATTAACTGTAATAAGAAATTCTTAAAATATAATATATGAAGCTTATTAGCTTTAACAAAATAATAATTTCTATAAACATTTTAAACAGATAAATACCCTCCGCTTATTAAAAAAATTGTAAATCGACGCCTTGCGTTAAGGTAAACGACGAGGGAATCTCAGGCCACGCGCTTTAATTTTGTTTTTGGTGAAAAATGGCCAAATCGATGGGTTATAGTCCGGAGATTTTTAGTCCGTGTCGTCCACGCGCGACAGCCGCGTGTGTGATTATCTGGGCCCATCCACACCTCATTTGCTAGCCCAATAATTTTCCCGCGGTCCTTGGACCCTTCTTAAAGGCCCAAAGTTTTGCTCAAAAGCCCAATTATGGCCCAATAAGCCATCACCGTTCTTTATTGGCCCATTTGTTTTTTCCTCCTTTCCCTTTGGACTCATTCAATTTAGCTTCGTTTTTTTAAAGGTGATAAAAATAACCATATTTTAAGATGAGAATATTACGATCCATATTATTTTATTGTGTACAAACAAAAACGGTACATCGAATACATACTCCCAATTTACATTTTTTTTTTCAGTATTTCACATTATAGTAAAATTAAATATATAAATGACAACAATTTGGCACAAAATTGATAGTTCATATACTTTACAAAAGAAAATTTCAAAATTTTCAATAAGATGTCAAGTATTTGATCCAACTAATTTCTAAATCTAATATGTATTTATTTGATATACAAATCAAGGATTCATGATTAGACATTTATATTGCCCTCCTTTTAAATATAGTGGGAAAATTTAAATCATTTTCTTTAGTTCGGGTTTTAATTTCTCTATATTGGGTTAAATAATTTATATCTATACAATTATCATAAAACAAGATTGACTCCGAATTGAAGATTAAAAGGATATTTAAGACTAAAGGGTGATGAAACTTTTTATTCTTAAAAATACTGCATTGAAAGAGGATAAAACATTGGTTATTTATAGATATGTCTATCGAAGCTTATATATAATAGAAGATTAATTATCTTTTCATCTATACATATGTTAAACTTATTTTAAATTTTAATTTTATTTCATCTTTTTTGCTAATTAGGAAAAAAAAGGGTCGAGATTAAGAAAAAGCGAAAAAAAGTAGAAAACGAGGAAACACCAACAAATTTTTTCCACACGTTTTGTTTAGGAATCGATAAAAATGAGCAGAATGACTTGGGGGCGGCCCTACTGTTATAGCCCAGGATACCGTAGGAGGGTGGGGAGTGATCGCCGGTGCGAGAGACATGGACAATGGGCGGCTCCTGACGAGCTTCTGGGTAGAGGGTACATGGATGAATCGGACGCACCAAAATGAGAGGGATCCGAGGGTTATGTAGGTATGAGACTATACAGTCTAAGATAATTTAAAAGAATTAATTGAGCTACCCATAGCAACAAGATGCATCTAACTTTTCGGTTGCCCATCTCGAGAGAACTCCAAAGTTAAGTGTGCTGACCTAGTAGTAGTCTTAGGATGTGTGGCATTTTGGGAAGTCCTTTTCGGGATGTGTGCGAGTGAGGACAAAACACGCTAAAAGGTCCCGTGTTGGTGTGTGAAGACAGCTCTATCATTCCGTAGCGACCTCGGGTCGTTACACGAACGGTTCGGTTTACATTAATCGATTACGATTAATTCGGGTGTGATTATTTCGATTCTTGAAAACACATAACCAAACGTTATTTAATTTTATTCGATTCGATTCGGTTTCAACTATTTCGGGTTTTGAAAATTTATGATCAAACAATTATTTAATTTTATTCGTTTTGATTTCGACTTTGGTTTGGTGCGATTTTATCTACTCAAAATTATAACCAAATTATAGGTTCGATTCGGTTCACTTATTACATTAAAAAATGGAATTGTTTATAACAGAAAAATATTTAAACAAAATATAATATAAAATAAGATCATGATAATTATTTTGTATCCATATCCATACACAAATTCATACTAGTATATGGAATTAGTATTTTTCGTATTATTTTAAATTATTTTGTTACCTATATATTTTTTATAACATTGAAAAATAATCGATGACCGTAGCAGTGGTTTGGTTTTACCTCTCAATGGTTTTAAGAATCAACGAAAAAAATAGATAATTTATCAAGAAAAATTATTCATAATTCAAATATATTCTTAAAAATAAAAGAAATCAGATTTACCAATTGAGTTTAATTGATTAAATATAAAACGAAATTCTTTAAAATATAATATATGGAGTTTAATAGTTACAACAAAATAATAATTTCTATGGATATTTTAAAAAGATAAATACACACGTTTAATAAAAAAAATTAAACCGGTTTGGGCCCCAGGACACCTTCGTAAAGGAAAAAGACGAGGGAATCAAATGCCACGCGCTTTAATTTTGTTTTTGGGTGAAAAATGGCCAAATCGATGGGTTATAGTCCGGAGATTTTTAGTCCGTGTCGTCCACGCGCGAAAGCTGCGTGTGTGATTATCTGGGCCCATCCACGCCTCATTAGCTAGCCCAATAATTTTCGCGCGTTCTTTAGACCCTTCTTAAGGGCCCAATTATGGCCCAATAATTCATCACTGTTCTTTATAGACCCATTTGTTTTTTTCTTCTTCTTTCATTTGGACCCATTCAATTTAGTAACGTTTTTCAATGTTTCGCATTATTGTAAAACTAAATATATGAATGACAACAATTTGGTACAAAATTGTTAGTTCACATATTTATTGTAGTCCATATCATAAAAGAGATTGTGAATCGGTTCGGGCTTGGACTCCAAGGATAACGAGGGAGTCACAGGCCACGCGCTATAATTTTATTTTTGGTGAAAAATGGACGAATCGCTGGAATATAGCCCAAGGATATTAATTTAGTCCGTGTCGTCCACGCGCGACAGTTGCGAATGTGATTGGCCGGGCCCATCCACGCCTCATTAGCTAGCTTAATGATTTTCCCATAGACCATTTGAAGATATCTTATGGGCCCAAAGTATGGCCATATATCCCAATTACGGCCCAATAATGCATCTCCGTCCTTTATGGACCCATTTTTTTTCTTTCACTTGTGAACCATTTTGACATTACTGTTATATTAAAAATGCGGGTTTCCTTTTTATATCGATTATTGAAAAAGACCGACTAACCCCACTACTCAAATACTACAACCAGTCAAAGGCTTCGTAATTTCCTTCCTTTTTTTTTCCCTGTCGAGAAAATGCGGGGAAAATGGTAGAGAGAGTTAAGCCCAATGGGTTTGGGCTCAAGGACATGCTTGTAAATATATATATATATATATATGCATGCTGAAATTGGAATGAAATAAAGAAACATTTGTTTGTCTGATAAAAAAAAGATACAAGACACATAAAAAACACATCTCAACAAAACAGACTGTTTTTGCTTTTGTTTTTGTTTTTTTGCTGATTATTTGCCTCCAATACTCTTATTTTCCATTTGGATAATTAAAAAAAAGGATGTGTCGACAAGACCCAAAATACTTTTTTTTTTTTGCAAGATCATAGAACGAGAAGCAGACAGGCAAAAGGACACGGTGAGGAAGAAAAAGGCGATAGTAGAATTACCTTATTAGTTAGCCAGTGAGGGCGGCGTTGAGGGCACTGTGAACTTCAACTCCGATCTGGGCCTCGGCCTTTTCTAACTCTGTGGTAGCTGAGTTGAGCTTCTGGGTGAACTCGGTCAGGCCCTGCTGGACAAGGGCCGGGTCAATGCGGTCCAGTGGAACAGCCTCCACTGCTATGATGTCAGCCACCGAGTTTGCATGGATGAATGCGAATCCGCTGCTCAGGAAGTACTTCTTCACATCATTCCCTTCGTGCACGGAAAAGACACCCGGCTTGAGTTCTGCGATTGTGGGCACGTGACCAGGCAACACACCCATTTGCCCGGTTGTTGCCGGGATGATGACCATGTCGACCTGTGAAAAATGGGCATGGGAAATCATTACCATTAGCATCATATAGCGTGCAATGATTTTACAAAGAAACATCAAACATAGACAGGAAGAACAGTATCTAGAGGTTCTCTAGTAAGCGAGCCCGTTGACTGGATATAAAAAATGAGTCTTGAGGGAAATTTTCCAACAGCAGTCAGCAGCACATAAAGCAGACCAATCAACCGAAAAATGAGAAGAATGCAATAACATTGAAGGGCCTAAAGGGGGTATTAAAGAAACAGGGCACTGTTTAGGTTGAAGGAGACAAAACTATATGAATGAGAATACAGCAGAAAAAGGGTATGCCGCAAAACACAAGCGGACATCTTTTCTCTCTACCCGAAAATATGCCATCTAAACACCAGATATCAAAATGCCACTAGAAATAAATAAAGTAATCAAGTGTGCTTGCTTACTATATGTATAGGATAAGCTAGACACTTGACAAAAAGTTGATCCAAATGAACAATATCAATATGCAATAAACCAAATGAGCCATGTATAAAACAAAACTGACCCATTCACTAGAGCGATGAAATTCAGTAAATGAACATTACAAGCAAACTTAACAACAGCTGAATGGCATAACTATCAGCAAACCATGAACCAAACTCACTGACACCAGAGATTACAACAGCAAAACAATCAAACAAAGAGCTTGATGTTCACCTAAACCATGCCTGGTCTGGTCTCAGTGATAAACCAAGGGACAGTCATACTGTGAGTCTTTCACTTTTCCAGGTTAGGAACCAAACCACTAATCCAGAAAGATTGCATAATTTACTTCACATCAATGATTGGAAATTCGATGGCCTAGAAGCCTAACTCCTTACTACGAATCCTTCCTTCATAACAAAATAAAATCAACGAACATCATATGGAATACCTTTAACTAACATCACACAGCATCGAAGGAGATATCATTTGCTAATCGGTGGATTCGTTCAGATAATCATCCAAAAACGCGAACAGAGATCAATCAAATCGACGCGACGAAAAAACCTAAATTCAAGATCGGAGAAATGCGAGAGAGCAAACCTCCTTGCCAGCGAGCTCTGACGAGTAAGGAAGGACAAAATTGACGGTGAGCTTGGTCGGCAAAGTCGCCGGAGTCTCGGGACGAGGCTTCATGAAGGAGAGAGGAGTCTGTGGCGGATCCAGATTCGGAACCACTTTCTTCCATGACTCGATGAAATTGGAATCGGCGGCCGCATTCGCCGGAACATCGCTAGAGAACGATCGCACGGCGGAGACGCGGCGAGCCAGGAGGCGAGCGGTTTGCCGGAACATTTTGGCGGCGGTTTCTCTAGAGAGGATTAGGGTGCGATTCAGTGTTTCCCGACTTCAGCTTTCTCTCGGCTCCCTCTTGTTTCTGACTTTCGCTATTTTTTTTTCTCTATTTATATTTTTCTGGCCACATTCCTAATTATTTTTCTCTATTTATAAAGTTGCACGCACTTAAGGATATATTATATAAACATCCTACATATTTTATCAAAAACATTTTTTGGGGTAAAATAATAAGAATTTGAAAGGAGATGACTTGTATTGTATTTTTGAGTTTTTGGTTTTAGTTTTTTTTTTTTAATTTTAGTTTTTGGTTTTTGGATTTTTATAATATTTATAAACTCAAAAAAATATTGTTTTTGATTTTTTATTGATTTTTTCACCAACATGATTTTCTAGATATTTAGAAAACATAATTTTATAAAAATTTAAATGATAGTTTTTTGGTTTTTGGATTTTAAATATTCTAAAAGCTCCAAACATTCAAAGATATTTTAGGAAAATACTAAAAAAATCGAAAAATTAAATAATTGGATCTTCAAACTCAACTAGTAATTTATGATTTTTCATCCATAAACATATTTTCATAGAGTTTGTGAAAAAAAAAAACAAATGGGTTATTTTTTCTTGGCATTGAACATTAAATAATTTATTAAAAAATATATATATATATATATATATTTTGGTAGAGAGACGGAAGTATTTTGGGCTTTGAACTGGCCCCATAAAGGAGTTATCGATGTGTGTGTAAATAATTGGCCGGAGCCTTAAACCGGCCGGAAGATTTATTCGAGAGTCGCAAGAACAAAAAAGATTTGGATTCGGAAAATCGTGTCTCGAGCCGAATTTGACCGTTAAGCGTCGAGCTTTGCTTAACCTCGCCGGAGAATATGGCGGCACCTTCGCCGTCTCTGAGTAGCAACGGCCTTGCCGCCGCCGCCGCTACGCCTCCGAAGACAACCCTCCGTGGCCTCAACAAGCCCAAGTGTATCCAGTGCGGCAACGTCGCTCGCTCCAGGCAAATCTCTCTCTCTCTCTCTCTCTCTCTTGTGGGCATTGATTTTGGCGTGGTTGGATTTTTTTTAGCTTCTCGGGTTTCGAATCCGGTGCCTTAGTGTGAAAATTTCAGATTGATTCTGGGTTTTCAATGTGAAAAGGGCTTGAATTTATTTAGTTTTCGTCTTGATTTGGAGTTGCTAGGGTTTGAGATTTCGGTTTCTGGTGTTTCTTAGATTGAATTGAGGGTTGAAACTTGAAAGTTCATCATTTTTAGAAAAAATAATTGAAACTTTCGGCGCGGTGTTTTGGAGGCTTGCCCTTTGGAACAAGTGTTGAGATTCAGTTCCCTTCATTTGTCCATTGAGCCATTTGAGGGATCAGTAAGGTTTAGATTGATGTTCTGATTTCATTGCTCGGATGACAAATGCAGGTGCCCGTTTCAATCTTGCAAAGGTTGCTGTTCAAGGGCAGAAAATCCATGCCCGATTCACGGTATGATTTTCTAGAATCTGTATAGGTTCACATAATCGGGAGTTCATTTTTTCATCCTTGTCCGGGAAATCTAGTTGCGTAGTTTAGTATCTCTCACATTAAAGTCATAGCATGGAAGTATTGGGATTCTTTGAAAGAATTGGTGACATACATGAACAAGAAACACACACATTCTCCACTCAAAGTTGCAATCACATCTCTTCTCTTAAGAGAATTGGACTTTCATTCATTGTCGTCGCAGTATTATGTATGTGATATTTGTGTGAGCAAGTAGTAAGCTGTTACTGTTACCAAATTGGATTGTCTGATCAAGAATGTAGTTCCAAAAAGCTAGCTTGTCTCTTGACTTACGTGTTCATACTAATGCAGTACTTAAAGCAGCTGCTGGGTCTGCTGAGAAGGCACAGGTCCAAAATACTCTGTCATCAGAGCAGAAATCATCTGAAGGAACTTCCGGGTACATAGATCGTGAAGCTTCACATAACTGATTGTGCTTCGATCACGGGAAGGAATCTTAAAGGAAATTGCTCTGTTTTGCCTGATTTGTTAGGACATAGCACCCACTTTCATGTTTTTTTACTGGGCATAGTCCATTTGCTGGTACTGTCTTGTGTGTCATCATCATTGTGGTGACAATCCTAAGCACTAAGTAGTTAGCAAAAGGTGGCTGGAAGATGATTCTGTTGTAGTAATCATGCATTTAGAGCTTATGCAACTGTTGTGTTTGAGCCACAGGAATATCTAAGCTTCTATTTATTGGTTGTTCGATTTATCTGATTTTGTTGGAACATACCCTTGTTTTCATGTTCGACAGAATGCAGTCCACACCTACCTGCATATTTATTGTTTTTCGGTTATAGAGATACGCCTAGAACATCAAAGGATTTCACTTGTGTTGTGTCTGAAATTGAAACATGCTTGCCAATCATGCAAGGTTTAGTGACAAACTTTGTTTCTTGGTGTTCTTTGTTGTTTTGTATTTGTCGATGACGCTGATTTGTTTGTGTATTCTTCTTCTGGAACTGCTCCAGGGCGACAACTAGACTTTCATCAATCCGACAACTTTCTAGCAACTTTGCTCAGTTTAATAAACTGAACCGTCCAAGAAAGCCATTGACGATAAAGGTTTTTTTCTTATGTTGTTCATCCTGTGCGGTTGTTTTGTTCTTATTTGACAACTACTAGTTTCTTTTCTTCTTATGTTCTCCAGGATGCAGTGGCATTAAACGAGTGGCGGTTCTCCAAGTTAAAGGAATACAGAGACAGAAACATTGGAGAAGAAAACGAAGCTTTTGACCGGTACATGAAGAACGTGAATTTGCTTGAAGAGGTCTTTTCTTTGACATCTGTTCCTGAAGAGAATCCGGGCACGACAACTGAGCTGAATGATGACGAGAAAACCATCTCATGTCTGAAACTGAGGCTGAGATCAGATCCTGCAAGAGCCAAGAGATTTAGAGAGCGGATTCGGGAGGTTGTCAATGAGGGTTTGGCGCAACTTCAAAAACCCGGGAAAGATGATCGTGTGGGTAATCAAGATGAACAACCCGAAAGACGGGGCAAAAGGGCGAAACGGGAAGAGAGAGCTTCGGCTTTGAGTGAGATTATCGATAAGGTAAGCAAAGCAAGAACAGAGGAGGATCTCAAATCTTGCACAGAAATGAAATCGAAGCTCTATCATCGTCATCCAACCCCCTCTCTCGAAGTTTCCGGAGATGACCCGTCTGAGAAAAACAAATCTTTACCGGGTTTCGTCAGACGAATTGAGACGGGCGAAGAAACGCTTAAAAGAATCGACGAACAATTCTGTTCTCTCGAGCAGATTGGAGGCTTATTATGAGCTCAGAGCACAGGGCATTATCACAGGAATGGATAGATTTGATCAGTTTACAATCCATCTTTGATTGATATGCCATAATATATTCTGAAGCTACAAAGCTGGAAGATGAAGAGTATGAGCAAAGTTTCTGAACTGTTTCAGACCAAAGGCAAAGACAACTCCTATGATGTTTTTTTGGGGTTCTGCAATGGAAGATTCACCATCCATGACAAAGGGTTTAGTTCTTATGGGACTTGTCAATGGAGATTGTATATATATAATATCGCCATGGATTTATATTTCATATTTGGCTTTTTACGTTAGATTCTTGTTTACTTGGTTAGAAATGGAATGATGAATCTTTTCTATATATATATATATATTGTTTTATAAAATATCGTTTCTGTGTATTATTTTTTTTATTTTATTTTTATTCCTCTCACGATTTCTTTGACAAAAAAAAAAAGAAAATATGTGCATTTGAATGATTGTCATTTGCATACAAGATTTTTTCTTTTTTTTTTAAAAAAAAAAGTTTTAATTATTATGTCACTGGATTTTAGTTTGTATTATATGTTTATGCTATAAATATATAGATTCTAATATCTTTTTATATTATTTTCTTCATTTTTGTGGACGATCAAAAACTCTAAAAGACTCAATATATATATATATATATATATATATAATGAATTTTACACCCAAAAAAAATATTCCATAGATATATTCTACAATAATAAAATGATACCATTTCTATGACTTTTTTAGATTCTTACATTATGAGATTGAAGCCCAACAAAAAAAAAAGAAAAGAAAAAAAGGCAAAAGCAAAATAGTTTAGAGCCATAACTCCTAACCAAGAATTTGAAATTTGACTTTTATTTTATTTTATTTTCCGTTGATAATAATAATAATAATAATAATAATAATAATAATAATAATAATAATAATAATAATAATAATAATAATAATAATAATAATAATAATAATAGTGTAGCCTTTTGTATGTTTCTTCCTTTGTATTATGCCTCACCCCCACATATTTGTTCTCTTCCTACCTTCAATTTCTACCTTTTGCCCCCTCCTTCCCATTAAGCTCCCAATTTCAACGTCTCGTTTTTCAACTTCTCTTTATAAAATAAATATGAATAAATTATTTTAAAAAAGTGCCTATATTATAAATTTATCAGTGTATGCATTTCGAAAAAAAAATATTATTCCTTTATACACATAATTACACGTATATTTCCGCGCTGCGAGACTAACTATAAATATATTTATATCCGGAAAATCAATATTTAAAATTGTGAATTTATATCTGAAATGTTATGATACTGACCGGTAATTTGAAAAGAAAGTTTACAATTTCAACTCAGCATGTCGTGGACGAATAGTCAAACTTACGATATGAGATAACTCTACTTTGAGATTGAGTGTTCGATTCCTTACTGGTGGAGAGAGAGGTAATTTCTGAATCTATATAGTCTATATACAAAGACTGCTTCCGGATCGGAGATTTACCTAGTCAGCGTGCCCGAATGATAGCGCCCGAATGATAGCAGTTAGGGATTCTCTATTATAAAAAAAAAGAAGTTTACAATTTCATTGTGATGATGATGATGATGCTTTCCTTCTTTTCTCTCTTATTTGTATGCCGTTTGCCTAACTGATTGCTGATTTATCTTAATGTATAAACCACATTAAATGCCATTTTATATATATATATATATATATATATATATATATATATTATGTTTTTATCTAACATTACGTATGGAAGCTGACCAATTAATCTCATTGGACCAATACATCAAAATCTCCATTATATTAAAAAAAAATCTAAACTATACCCATCGATCATAATATCATATCTTCACATCTCGTTTATTAGAATATACGTTGTGATGGTTCGGGCCGTTTCACATGTGAATTATTTGTGTTCCAAGTTATAGAGAAGGATACCCTTTAATTTTTTTAATCGATAATATATATATATATTCCAGTGTTTGGTTACATTTCTAGAATGGTGTGATTGAATTCTCAACGTGGTCAAACTACCCATATTCGAGATCCAAATATTTTTTTTATAACAATTCAAATATTGCAAGACTATATATATATATATATATATCAAAACTATATACTATATAATATTTGATTAGAATAGAATAGGTTATATAGTATTGGTCGGTTTTAGATGGGATATGTATGTGGAAAAGATGGAGAAAAAAGAGAGCCACGAGAGGATAAGATCCCTCTAATGGCAACACATGTAGACAATATACGTGGAACCAAAAGTATGCATGATTTTTCTTTTTATAATTCGAAAATTTGGATAATTCAATCGATGAAATGAGGATGCAAAACATTTGTTCCGTTCTTAGTTCGATCTTCAAGTTGAAGATGGGAGTATAATTTCAATCATATTATTTATTTCCGTTCTCGAAATTAGTCTGGATTTCGGTTCAAAACATCCGATTATCCAAAAAAAAATTATCGAATATTCGATCCAACTATACTTTTCAAAATATCGGAAAAACTCATGCAAATGTCTTTTTGCAGATAAAAACCTTAATACAGATTAAAAATAAATTTTATTATATCTCTGATCAATTGAACCGTCTTATCTTGGATAATCATGTCCAAAGACAAAACAAAGAAATGAAATAAATTGATAATATTGTACAATTTCAAAACTATTTCTGGGATCTGTCAATCATGTTTGGTTAATTAGTCCGAATAATTAAGACCACCGTTGTTGATTTTGATGATTAGGCGGCTCTATATATCAATAATTTATTCGTGTATAGATAATCAAACGAAAATAAAAATATTATATACCAAACGTTAAAAAAATAGATTAATAGTATTTGATAGAAACCCTAATTAGTTGCATCATAAGACGAATAATTCATTATAAATATATGAATCGGATTGTTGGCGGAAAAATCAAATAATATATAGTCTTATTTAAACCAGGCACGTATTATCGTCGTAAAATAATTATGTGAAATCGTTAAAAAATAAAAATAAAGAAATATATGTTCTCTATAAGTTATAAAAAAAATATATGTTCTCTATAACTTTGGGCACACATAATTCACATGTGAAACGGTCCGAACCATCACAATAATTGAAGATCATATTTACCTACTTTCACTACATAGTAAAAAGGAAGGACCGACGGATATGTACGTGCTGTGCATATAATAATTATGTAGCTATATACGAATTATTACAAATATTTTAAGTTTATAAATAGATTGATTTGTGAAATATAGACTGAGACGTTTAATAATAATAATAATAATAATAATAATAATAATAATAATAATAATTGGGTGTCAAAAGATACAAGTAATCGGTGATATTCATGCATGATTTTAGGTAGGGATGTCAATTTAGGTCCGAAATTCGAAGTTTGACCCGAGTTCATTTGAAACATGTCGGGCTTCCAACCTAAGTTTTTCGGCTCGGAAAAGGTCGGGCTTTTGCATCAAACTCAAATCAGACTTTGATTCGAAAACTTGATAATATTTTTTCAAAAAAAATCATAATAAAAAATAAATAAATTTATAAAGTAATTTGAGTGACCGATCCGACCTAATTCGAATCCAAAGTCTATACAGTCAGGTTTTGGATTTGACTATATAGACCCGAAAAAAATCGGACCAATCTAAACCCGAGCTCAAAATCTTCGGAATGACACCCCTAATTTTAGCCACTAAAGCACGTAACATGTGTCGTGGTGGTGCCGATTTTATGGTGGACTTTAGAAGATTGGTTGGAATACATAAATACATTTCGATAATCATATTTCTTGACATTTACCAACCGTTCCCATTCCGCCCAGTAAAAATTAATCGATAGATACATTAAATTAAAATATATTTTTAGATCGATTGTTATAATATAATATATATATATATTATTATAATGATAATGCAAAAAAAACATGATTTGGAGTTTGAAGTGAAGGACTGGTCTGTCATTGAATGCCATGGCATGACATGACTTCAATGCATTATCATGGAGCACACATAGGTACGGGACCTCCTATATATGCGCAAACAGTTGCAGAAAGCACATTAATTATGTTACACATATATGCACGATATTTACGATACATATGTATATATATGTATGTGTGTGTGCGACTGTACAACGCTGGTTGAACTGTTTTAAATGTATTATACATAATTTTAATTTTTTCAAAAAAAATATTTTTTTGCAATAATAATATCAAGGAAATGAAAAATTAGTTAGGTATTTTCAAGAATAAAAAATCATAGACAAAGTAGAAGATTTTACTTCAAATAACATAAAAATATATAAAATTAAATAATAAAATCAATTTTTTTTAACCGAATATCTTGGACCAACGCCTATATTAATATAGGGGTCGAAAGCAAGTCATGTGATTTAAATTTATATTTTTTCCCCCAACTTAAACTTCGAACTTCGAACTCGGGACGTGACAAACGATTTGCGTCTCTATTTTATCAGATTAACTATCCAAGTATTAAATTAATAATGAAATCAAAATTAAGATTGCATAAAAAAATCTTGAAAGTTTGAAATCTCGAATGTTACAAATCCTTATCAAGAGGCTACAAATATCGTGTAATTTTATTACAAATTATATCACAATTTTTTTTCAATTCAAGATGCATAAGATTTTGGATTAAAAAAACGCCACAATAATATAAAGTACATACCGACTTATAATATTCACGAATATAAAAGTAGAATTGCTATTTGACGTCTTCGTCATGTCGCTAGTAACTTTTGGTGTTCGAATATATTCACGAATGTACTAACATACGTATATGTGCGTATGTATTTATACACATACAAAGAAGGTAAAATTGATAGCGTGCATCCGCGAGTCGAAAGAGTCACGTGAAATGTTTGGTCTTATGTGAATCCATTACATATATATATATAATATGGTGTAGAAAATATAACATAGATGAACCCAATATCACCAAACTCGAAATCCGGTTCTATATATTTTGGGCTTGGGTTCGGATCGGAGCAGACTGAACCGACCCGCTAAATTTGTTCTTTCAAATGTTATTTTTTATTTATTTTTTATTACTTTTTATAATAAAAAAATCGGACTTTCGGATCGATTCGAAGCACGATATGAACCCGGTCTGAAAGTTCGAAATTTTTCAGGCCTTAATATCCCGGCCCAAATTAAGCTCGTTATTTTTAGGATCGGGTCAGATTTTGGGTTTCGGGGTAAAATTGACACCTTAATTCGGGAGAAAATATTCAAATGAGTTTCTTAAATTTTATGTGAGGTGTAGGTAGACCGAAAGTGCGATAAACTTTCGAATTATTAGCGAAATATTTTAAAAAGCAAA